TCACTGGTTGACTGTTGGCCAGACAAAATGTGTATTCAAATAGATAGATTATCTGATCGTCATTAAATAATGGAATTCCTTAAATTCTACAGTTTAACTATCACAACAACAAATATTTGGCTCTTGCTATATCCTTGGCTCTGTGCTAATCACAGAGAATATAAAGGTAAATAAAATACACTCCTACCCTTGAGGAATTCCCAGTCAAGTGGGGAAGACACACTAGTTCGTAGATAATCCAATATAATGCAGCACACTTAACAGAAGAACAAAGAAAAAGTACCATTGAAACACTAACTCCATCGCAACTGATGAACCACTAAACTCTACCTCTGAAACTACCAATATATGCTATATGTTATAAATGCTCTATATAAACTCTACCTCTGAAACTTTAACATACACTGTATGTTAATTAATTGAATTTAAATTTAAAGAAAAGAAAAGAAAAAGAAACATTAGTTGCAAAAAACATCTTGCAGAAACACTAAATAGGAAGTGACCAACTACACCTAGGGTGCTAACATATATTCATTAAGCACTTCCTATGACTGTATTAGGCACGTGAAAGATAGAAGGGAACACCCCTCCTGTCTCTCTGTAGTGTAAATTAAGCTGGAAAGACAAACTAGAACAGATAAGTACATAAATTAAAGTACAATTATAAACAATAGAAAGTACTGTGAGGGAAGAAACAGAGTGGTATAAAGGAACCGATAGGGAGAACTAATTAAAATTAGGGAATGAATCAAGGAAGGGTTTTTAGAGGAAATGCCATTATAGCTAAGTCATGGAGGAGAGTTACTGAGTCACCCTGACTTGCAGTGGACTTGAATTTGGTGTTAGCATGTTGGTGACATTTGTTACCACAGCATATCATAGCCTGTTCTCACTAATGGAGACAGACTGGGAGAACTGATCAGACTCTCTTCCCACATTATACTTATTTCCTTGTAAGCATTCTTATTATGTTTGCATGGGTGTGTTGTATTGCCTCTATTTCCTGGGAACTTTGTGATTGCTTTTGTTAAGAATTGCCCCTAACCAATGTTCTTATAGCAAATAATAATAACCTCTTCACTGAGTTAATGTGACACATAAAAGATTATATCATCAAAATTTATTCCACTCTCTCCCTTTTCTTCCTTCTTTACTTGCTTCCTTTCTTCCATCCCTTTACTTGCTACCTTTCCTTCTTTCTTCTTTTCTTTCCTACTCAACCATTTCACTTCCTTTCTCCTTCCCACCTGCTGTAAAAAAAAAAAAAAAAAAAAAAAAAAAAAAAATGGTTGCTCAATAAATACTAGTGATTACCTGTTAATTAATAAAATAATACCCAACGTGCTAAATACTGGGGCTTTCTTATCTTCTCCCCTTTGTCTTCCTTTTCTCTCTTCTCCCACCCCAGAACCCCTACTCTGGTCCAAGCTAACTCCCTTGTTTTTTTTTCTTCTTTGACATGGTTTAGGGATTCAGCCTGATAGTTTGGGGGAGGGGAGCTTTTGAGAGTGAGAGCTTCCACTTCCCAGAGACACCCTTTGAATGTCTAGACTGCGTAGTGGGCCCTCATCTAATACAAGTCTCTTTGTCTATAAAAATTCCACTATTATCATAATCAGAAACAGGCAGGGGATCATAAAAATCTTTGGCAAGGGGAAATCATGGAGCTTAGGAAATCTTATAGGTCTTTAGGCTCATGGTGTCAGCCTGATTTCCTGCTTCCTTCTCTGAAGTGGTAACTGGACCAAAGGAACAACAAGATTTTAAAGTGCACCAAAAAGAAGGATACACAAGCTGTAAACTAGCCAACCCTGCTGGCGCTGCATGGCAAGTGTTGCAAGTAAATAGCTGGTACTGGGGGGAGGGCACTTTCAGGCGACTGCTCCTGGGGTCCTCTTTTATTCTTAAATTTACCCAATTCCTGCCTTTTGACTTCATCTTGTATATCTGGGTTTGGACATTTCCTCTGGCTCCATTTACTTCAGGCCAATCGTTAGAAGCCCACCTTAACTCTGACTCTAGTAGATCAGCCCAAGACGTGATCGTACATTTATGAAGACCTTATAAATAAATAACTTTTAAAAATGAGCAAGATGAAGTTTTAGTGCAAAAAGCTATGGAGTGCTGGAGCTAACTAGCACTGGCTCGTGAGAACCAACTGTTAGGTTTTTAGGAATTTAGCATGTCAGTTGTTAAACAGAGTCATTATTGAAAATTATGGTACTTGAATATGTAGTTAAATAAGTTATATTAAAATAAAGGGAATGCGTATGTAAAACTTATCACTTTGTAATTAGTATTTCCTATGCTCTTGGGATTATCTGGATCAAATGTATCGTATGATGGAAATGCTATATAATGGTGTGTCATTGCACACATCTTCCTAACGGCATTCGTGACCCAGGCGTGGTGAGTGTATTCACACCATGGAAATCGGCAAATGCTACGAGAGCTTTTTTCTCCCATAGGCCAGCTATTAAATAGTTGACTACACACAACTAGAAGAGTGCTGATATCTTTCGGAAGTGGTTAATAAAGACAGATGCATGGCATAGGGAGAATATTTGTAGTTAACCTCTCCCAGAATCCATTCTCATAATGTCCCCTTCCTCAATAAGACCTTAAATTTTTCATTTATGTAGTTTGCATGGTCCCTTGCCTTCGGGTGCAGAACAGGACCCTTATTGTCTCAAGCACAGTGGCCAGTCCCGAACCTCTGACTACTGTCAGCCTGGTTCAAGGATGAATTAATGGTCCAAATTGAACCAACATGGCCACTGAGGCTGATTTTGAAGGACCTGCCATTCATAACCTGTCATTCCTACTATACAGGATCAAGTAAGTTTGTAACTGCAGAAGACACTGATAGCTATCTTGGAACCACAAATGAAAAAGACTACCCAAGAATGAATTTAAGCTGAGGAAATAGAACCCAAAAATGGTGAGAGAGAAACTAGATTCTGCCCAGGCACAGAGTGAAAATCTAATTATAGACTTTCTGTAAGTCAGTGAATTCCTTTTTGACTTCAGCATGATTGAATTAGACTTTCAGTTACTTGTACCAAAGTGATGCCTTCCTGATGATACATGACATGGAGTTTATATCTTTAGATGGGGTCATTGTAGGAAAAAGTAAATACTCTCAGTCATTCGTATCAAGATTATTTGTGTATATATGCCTGACTCTTTAACCAGAGAGCAAACTCTTTGTAGGCTGAAACTTCTTATTGCACATCACTGTTTCTATAGTTAACTCAACACTTGCCCTGCACAGAGTAGGGAGCAAGTAGTAATAAGTACTTAACTTAGGTCTGCTTAACCGAATTGGTTCGTAAGTCAAGGAGGGATTGTGCAAGAAGTGGAGTGAATCCGAGTAAATTCCTCTTCCCTTCTTTGGCCAAGCGGCCAATTTGAATCCATCTGTTGTCATTTGTGAATGTCCCAGGAAAAAAAGAATGAAGTAATATGGCTCTTGAGTCCAACAGTCCAGTCTTTCCAATGGAGAAGGTGGTAGTTTTCTGCTGGAATGCAGTGAAAGTAAGTCATCATCTTTTGGTTAGAGTAATCACTAAGAAAACTCCTTTTGATCATGTTTTCATGATGCCAAATATCTGGATAAAAATTAAAATGTGCAGTCAACATGTCTCGAAAAATCTGGGCCCGTGGCACCACGGTGACAAAATATCCAGTTACTTAACCAGACTTCTCCTCTATCTGCAAGTCTCGATTGTTTATGTCAAAAAGTGATGGTAACAAGTATGACAACCCCAGAACTATATGGCACCGTAGCTCTGAATGATACCAGTCCCTTATGACTTGGAGAAGAAGATAAGTACTAACACAGGCAGATCACATGAGTATTTTAGCTACATTTCAAGGCTGAAAGGAAATAACTACGAAAAGAAGAATGCTGCCTCCACTTTTCCATTCTTTCCCTGTCTTTTTTCCAACCCTATCATTGTCAACGTGCAATGTATCGTCTTTATTTATACTAATTTAATTTTCTCTCAATTTCCTAGAATGTAAGCTCCAAGAGGGCAAGTATTCGTCTCCATTTTTTTCCACAGCTCTGGTAGCAGTATCTAAAATAGACTCTAGCATAGAGTAAATGATCAATAAACATTTCTTGGACAGATGAGTTGGCCCGATGGATGCCAATTTGTTAATTAACTCATAGATCAGAAACTAAAATGGCCTGGTAGGAAAAAAAAATACTTTTTTTTTTAATTAAATGAAAAGACCCTGTGTTGGCTCCACTACAGTCTAACATTGTGACTACAAACAATTTGTTTCCCATCCTGTCCCTTGGTTTCTCGATCTGGAAAATGGAGATAATAGTGCCAGCCCTACATTCTTCAAAAACTTTTAAGTATCTCAAAAGAGACAGTAACTGCAAAGGCGTTAGGCTAAAGATACATTGCCAAAGCTTAGCACGGATGCGTTTTCATAGGATTAAACAATTATCTCAGTTGTCCACTTACTCATTAAACTGGCAAAATTCCATTTTCAGCTTTTATTCCCGTACATGCTAGCAACCGTGCATTAATCAGTTTTCTATATGGCTATTGCTTCCAAAGTATTGTTACTAACATTTTTAATTAATTAACCATTTCCAAATAAAGCTGCCATGTCTTATACTGCAAATTTGCCTTTGAAGTCACAAATCTCTTAATGTTAAATTTTTAATGATAAAAATAGACATACTTAACAAATCTAATCAAACGGGTACTTATTTAAAATGTGAAGTAGTATTTCTCCAGGGTAATCATGCTTCCCCTAAGACATTAATAGCAAATCAGTCTTTCTGTTGTGGGCATTCTATTTACTCAGTTTTCATTTTCTCCTTCAAGCTAAATTCTATTTTTCAAAGTCCCCTTTCCAGTCTTAAAAAAAAAAAAAAAGAAAAAAGAAAAAAAAATAAAGATCCTGTACCTTTAATAACAGAGACCTGGTGAGAGGTTTCTTTCCAAACTTGTTCCCTGGCTTCCAAGTGACGAAACCAGCTGTAATTTGAGAGCAGAGAGATCCTCAGGATATCATTAGCCAAAGGAAAAGCTCCACATTCCCACCCAGTCCAGAAGTTGAAATCGTATCAGAAGGCAACAGCCTTTCTCTCCAGCTACTCGATCCATCTCTCAGGAGCAAGGGGGAACTCCGAGGGAGAGTGGGGCACCAGAGCCCCGGAGCAGGGGTTCCCTCTCCTGCCTGTGATCCCACCGCCACCGCCTGGAAGGAGCAGGCAGCGTTCCTGCCCAGAGCACAGGAGCAAGAGCCTGGGTGCACCCTGTGCTGTGTGGCCGTGCTCCCCAGGCACCGGTGACACAGCCACATGAAGCCAGCTGGGGAGGGGGGGCCAGGGTGCAGCAAGCCAGCGGGAACTGAGGCTATCGCTGTCTTGGGGAGGCACTGACTCCCAGGGGGACCCCCCTTCTTCGTGCCTGGGCGGACGGTCTTCTCCCGGGGTCCCCAGTCACCCTGACTATCCAGGATGGTGTTCCTGAAGTTCCTCTGGATGGGTTTCTTCTGCCACCTGTGTCAGGGCTACTTCGATGGCCCTCTCTACCCGGAGATGTCCAATGGGACTCTGCACCACTACTTCGTGCCTGACGGGGACTATGAAGAGAATGATGACCCTGAGAAGTGCCAGCTGCTCTTCAGGGTGAGTGACCACCGGCGCTGCTCCCAGGGGGAGGGGAGCCAGGCTAGCAGTCTGCTGAGCCTCACCCTTCGGGAAGAGTTCACCGTGCTGGGCCGCCAGGTGGAGGATGCTGGGCGTGTCCTGGAGGGCATCAGTAAGAGCATCTCCTACGACCTGGATGGGGAAGAAAGCTATGGCAAGTACCTGCGGCGGGAGTCCCACCAGATCGGGGATGCCTACTCCAACTCGGACAAGTCCCTCACTGAGCTGGAAAGCAAGTTTAAGCAGGGCCAGGAACAGGACAGCCGGCAAGAAAGCAGGCTCAACGAGGACTTCCTGGGGATGCTGGTCCACACCAGGTCCCTGCTGAAGGAAACGCTTGACATCTCTGTGGGGCTCAGGGACAAATACGAGCTACTGGCCCTCACCATCAGGAGCCATGGGACCCGGCTAGGTCGGCTGAAAAATGATTATCTTAAGGTGTAGGTGGAAGGGCAAACTGCCAGGGAGAGGGCACAAAGTGAGCCCCGTTGTGGAGGGTGGGGACAGGAGACAGGGCTAACGTTTCTTTTGTACTTCTTATTTTTTATATCTGGATTTGCACTTGGAGAATGATCTGAAGTGATCTTTGAGAAATAAGTGAGAGTCGAGTTGTTTCGTTTTTGTACATTATTTATGGGATTGCTATTGATTTACTTGGAAAGAACAACTTAAAGCCATGCCTCTTGCCTTTGCTAGAGACTTTATAACTCTGCAGAGACACCTGTTTCAGCCACATCTAGAAGGACACAGTTTGTGCGGTAGGAAGCGATTAAAATTCCCCACCCTGGAGATTATGTGAAAATACTCAGAGAGGATAGTGCAGAGCTCCTTTTCGCCTTCAGCCTTCACTCTTGGGCTCTGAAAATTGTCAGCTGTCTGTTTTTCAGATGAGGTCTGAGGTGCTGCTCAGCCTTCCTGCCAGCTGATGGAATTTGCCAGTTTCTTGTTCTCTTTTTCTCTCTTATTTATTAACCATGGTCTCCAAGGTTTTGTTTTTTGTTTGGGGGGTTTTTTGTGCATTCTTCGTTTTTTGTTTTGCTTTGTTTTGTTTTTTGTTATTCGTAAGAGTATCGCCTAAAATTTGTACGCAAATCGTCCTTTGCAGGGCATGTCCAAGGGGCCTCTATGAGTGTTAAGCTGAAGTGGCCACATTTAAGAAGTCCAAGCTTTGTGGTTGGTACAGACTCAATGTTGCTGAGCTGATTTGTTGTGTCTCTCATTGTATGCCTGTGTCCTCAGAGCTACAGTCCGTCACAAAAAAGTAGATAGATTGTTTGAACCCACCCCTGAATGCCGATGATGTAGGTTACCAATGTATTTGTTCTGGGTTTGCGGATTTTGCTTCTGTTTGAGTACTGGAAACTTGTACTTCAAGTAGGGGGGATTCTAATTCTAATAACTCCTTCACTTAGTTTTATTATTCAGCCAATAAATATGTTCTCGTATAATACTGGCTTATTTTCTAATTGATATCCATAACTTTCAAAGTGCAAAGAGGAGTACAGTGCAAGAGGAAAGAGAAGGGTGGGATTTAAGCCAGTTTACTCAGAGTATCTGATAAAGAAGGCAGAGGGATGGCTACGTATTTGGCAATCATCCCTTCCCTGGCCACCCTTACCATCCTCAAAAGAAAAAAATCTAGGTTTTGCCAGAAGTTGATCTCTGCTGCTCTGCCTAAAAACTCCATTCCCCACCCCCACTTTTTTCCATAGAAACAACTGGAAAATTTATGACAAGGCTCAAAAGTTATATGCCCTCGTAATGCAGATGGCGGGCCCACTCTAAGTTACAGGAACTATAATGATGTTTAATAATTTTGAAGCCAGGTCTGTGTTATTGACTAATGATTTCAAAAGGTGGAAATGCCCTTTATTTCATGTCTTTCCCCAGGCTCTCCCTCTCACCTTAAATATGTTTTCCTTTTACACACACACACACACACACACACACACAGGAAAATAAATAAATGTTCATAATCTACTCTTCAACATTGAAGCATTTTTTTCTCTCCCATGCATGAAGAATCCAGTTTTCTATTCTTATAATGTGTCCAGTATATTACTGTAGGGGATACTGACACCCAGAATGGCTGACCCTTGTTGTAACAGCTTGAGGACTCTTAATGTGCTCCTTACAAGGATGTTGAGGCCTGAAACTTTGCATAGCTACCTCATTGTTTAAAATATAAAAGAACAACGCATGGAATAATACTTAAAATAACCGTTTGTAATTTCTTTGCATCACTCAGGAGACTGCTTTTAGCTGCCTCTATACTGGTGTGTGGGGAGAACGTAAATGATTGTTGAAAAGTGTTTCCTTCTTTATGCTATGAAAGACGAGGGAAAACAGCAGAGGCAAAGGAGATGACATTTGGCACTTAAATGATTGTAGTTTGTATTTACATTTAATATCTCAAAATTTTCCTATCACTCACTTCACAGGACTCAAGTCTAATCCATGGACATATTAAATGTCATCTCTTCAGTCTCCCCATCTGTAAGAGGAGAATATTAAGCACATGACACGGTTAGAAAACCGGCTTCACTGTGCATGCTAATTTCAATCAACCCGTAACAGGCTGCATACACTGTTAGGCTAAAAAGGATTTAAAAGGCACAGATGTAAAGAAGGCTGTCCCCAGTTAGAGACGCCTTCCGTGGGTGCAGAAGGAGGCGCAGCGGCACATCTGCTACAAATTTGAAAACCCTGAAACAGATTATGTATGAGGTTCTTTCCAGGGCGGACATTCTATGAGTCCTGCAAAACCAAAACGAAATTATCTGACATTGAATCATCCATTCAAAGCTAGATGTACAGCCAGTAATCCCACAGCGTCTTCTGTAAATGGCCCTAGAGGGCAAATGAGAATTTCCAGGTGGGGGGAGTGAGCCGCCCTAGATACCAACCCAGAGACTAACATCTCAAGTCTTTTCCAAATCCTCTTATTTGGTGGTGGGGGGGGGGGGGGAACAGACCCACTCAGCTCTTTCCTCCGGACTACCTTGTTATGCTTATTAGGACCTCCTTACTCCCCAGGTGACAGATTCTTTTCAATAGTGCTTCTTTATTTCTCAGACCATGAAATAATATTTTGAGAATCTGAAAAAGACTACATACTTTCTTCCCTGAGAAATCTGACAAAAATATCCACATAATTTAGGATATGCATTATTTTTATAAATACCAATCCCTTAGCTTGCATCAGGGAGGTTGCATCTCTTAAGGGATGGGATGCATGCATCCCTTAGCATGCATCAGGAGTTAGGTTGTGGGTAATTCTGGGATACCACAAAGCTATGGGACTTAATCTAACTAAAAGTTTTAAAAAGCCTCATGGAGTTTTATTTGAGTAAGAGACATTTTTATTATTGTTATAGTTTTCAGTTAGCTTATTTTTAATGTTTTATTGACTTATTTGAAAGAGAGAGTGAATGAGAGAGAGAGAGAGAAAGAGAGCACAAGCAGGGGATGGGGGAAGAGACAGAAGGAGACACAGACTCCCCACTGAGTGGGGACCCCCAATGCAGGGCTTGATACAGGACTGGACCCCAGGACCCTGGGACCATGACCCGAAGGCAGACGCTTAACTGACTGATCCACCCAGGTATCCCAAGTTTTGGTTAGTTTTAACAACAAAACTGCTAACTTTTTTGAGAACTCAGGGCCTGTGCTAAGAACATTGCCTGAAATACTTCCCTTAATTCTAGCAACAAACTGTGTAAAGAAAGTATCATAGAAAAGGAATTATTCCATGCCAAGTGCTTCAAACAGTACCTGACACAGAGTGAATCCTCGATAAATGTTCATTATTATTATGATTATTTTGGTAATTGAGCCCAGAAAGCCTAGAGAATTTTCCCAAGGTGAGAACTGTGTCTTATATATTTCACTATGTTCTCCCCTTTTAAACTGATGGTTATCTAGTGGAGTATAGATCAAATAAAAGAAGAACGTGGAGGGTGGGGGTACCCTGGGGCCACCAGCTGTCTACTGCAAATGTTGTCCATATAGGTCTGTCTGCTGACATCCCACAACAGTGCAGATGTCTGACCTCTGTCAGTCAGAAGCTGAGTGGCTCCTGTGTTTACAGAATTTCTCACTGCTACTTTCTCTGTGTGATGCATTGTTAAATACCACTACTCCCCACTCTCCCAAACTGATCATGTGAAAATTTCCATATCCCTACTTTGAAACATTCCATAGGTGTCTGTCTGTCTAGAGTCTATTGATAAAGGACACCAGGCTGTGTTAGCCTCTGTGTTAGCCTTAGCCAACCAAGCCACACTCCTAGAAGCTGGCAGAAGCCTGCTGGTGGAGATGTGTTATGAAAGGCAGCAGGGAGAGGCTGTGCCACAGATCACATACTTTTCATTGTCTTTTAAATTCTTTCTTATAACTCTGCTAAGGAAATATGCTCAAAGCTTTCTGAGAGAAGCCTTGAAACATAGATTATAAACTATTTTAGCAAGTAATAAAAATGTCCATGAAAACCACTAAAGATAAGAAATCATTCTAAATGGTTAGGATGCTTCCCTTGGGACATTTTTCCGAGGAAGTTAATAAAATCTTCTTGATAAGAAACAATAATCGGTTGTGAAATATAAATGCTAACTGTGGTTTATCAGTGTTTTCATACAAAATCAGTGTTTTCATAAGGAACAACTGGAGACAAGTCTTGGTTAGAAATAGAATACAGAAATGCATAAGCACAATTCGCTGATCTAGAGAATGAGATTCTGTACATCATCTTAGCAATTTTGGAGTTGGGGTTATCCTTAGGAATACTATCTCCAGAGTCAAGATCCCGATGGGTATGTCATTCATCCAGCATTTTTAAAAAGCCACCATATAAGGTACCCACGATAGAAAATGGCATGTAGACATGTGAGAAAAAGGACAGCTAGACGAAAGATCATAGTACCGTGTAGGACTGGCAAAGTACAAGCTTCTATGGGAGCTTAGCAAGAATGTAATCTAGAATTGTTTGGGAAATGTAAAACAGTGTAAATAAAATAAGGATTTGGTATAATCATACATTCAAAAGATATAAGGGTGTCATTGTTGTTGGTATTATTGTTGTTCTGCTCTTAAATAACATTTTTTTCCAACTACACAAGCCATAGCTGTTGTATTCTAATGACATGTAAACAGCAAAACACAAAGAAAACAAAATCATTCCTAGTCTCAAACTCCCCCAGCATACACCTACTATTTGCATTTTAGCGTACTTACTTCTTTAGTATTTTTTAATGCATACCTATATAACTGTATTTTCCTTTGGGGAAAAATGATATCCTAGTAATACATTGTTTTGTAGCATGTATCTATTTTAGATATTCATTATGTTCAGTAGCATAGATCTTTTAAAAATGCTTAAATCTCCCCCACGGTACTTCAGGAGGCAGAGGTTCCAGTTTCTAGATCTTGTCCTACTATGTATTAGTTGTACAGCTTTGAATAAATCCCTTAAGTGATCTGAAATTCCAATCCTTTGTTTGCAAAATGCAGACAATAGCCAATATTTATTAAACAAGCACAGCTCAAAGTATTTCTGATACATTATCTGACATAATCTTCCCAGAGTTATATTTTAGGTAGCTGTTATATTTTCTAAAATTTTGAATAAAGAGACTGAGGCACAAAGAGTAAGTTAAGTGACTTACCCAAGGTCTCCTAGCCAGACAGGAATGGAGTCAAGATTCCAAAGCAGACGGGTTGTCTCCTCTACTAACCACTAATGATGAAAGTCTTTTCCTTTCTAAAGGTAGGAGACGAGACACATGATTTCTTCACTCCCTACCTATTCTAAATGGCCTATGAAATGAACATTTTCCTAATATGATTTTCTTAATTGAAAAAAAATGCAAACCCAGTTTTTCTCAAAGAACTTATTTCTCTGTTTAATTTTATGTTGGATGAAGAATCTCCTTCACACGCATGTGTCGCTCCACGATTCTTTGCCTAAGAGCAACCGGCTTCTTGCTAAATCTTGTATTTTCCAAGCACTTCCAGCCATATTATCACATTTGACAACAAATGATTATCGATGCTGAACTGGCCAGGACAGTTTGTAGTGTTTAGCATTTGGTGATGGGAGCCCAGTGTTCATATCTAGACAAGTTACTCAGTCAGGACTGATGCCAGATGGAAAGATTCCTTGTCTGGGCACCATGTACCTTATAGGTCTGCCTTTCATGCATCCATTCATCCATTCAAAATACACTCACTGAGTGCTTGCTAATATGTTTACTAAAAATGGAAAAAAAATACAGCCATTGAATCCCTCCTGGGTATCAGGCCCTGTTCAGGATACAGCAGTCAGACAAAATCCATGTTCTCCTCAATCTTATATTGAAACATACAAGTTTAATGAATCATTAGGACTCCTATTGTGGGGTGATAACAAATAAATGAAAATATCTATAGAATGGGATATTAGGCAGTGA